ACCATTAGCCTGAGTGAGGACAACACAGACCAGTGTCAGGGCCTCTTGTTTTAAGATCTGCATCTACTAAGTTGAGAAAAATCTATTCCTGGGTCACGATGTTCTGATTTGAGGTGCTGCTGCTTTGCCAAGCTCCACCATTTTAGTCATCCCTCTGCACCATACAGAAGTCTGGTGCTTCTCGGGCACACATGAGAACTCTGTAAAGGCAAAGGGAGGGATGGGAGCAGGGTGTGTGCCCTGCAGGGGGCCTGCCTGGGGCAAGTGAGCATCAGGACCCTCCAACAGTTGATCTCATTGTATTGGCGACAGCTGGGGAAGGCCCTGGCCAACAGCTGCAACTGGGAGCTGTTCTCGGGCAAGACTGATAGAGCTGGCAGTAGTGACTCCTCATCTTCCATCTTCCACAGGAAGTCAGCTAGCAGACATCCATTCCAGGTAAGTCTGGGTCTTAGGGATGATATGAAGGAAAGAAATTATCTTAGAAACTGGCTCTTGTGGTGCATGGGGACCACAAGTGAAGCCGGGCTCCACTCTAAGCCACTCTGTTCATCCATACACCAGTGTTTAGCAGGAGGCTACTGTGAATCAGGTATTGCAACTGAACTGTGCCCTAGTAGAGCAAGGCTACCCATCTGCTTTGTTCTCTGCTGATTCTCCAGTGTCTATAATAGTGCTTGCACAAAGTAGGTACTGAAGAAAAGCCAGTTAGAAGAATTAACAAAACCATATATGTTGGTTCAAAAACTTAACCACAACCAGGTGAGGAAGAGGTTTAGAATGGATACCCCACGCCACATGCTTCTACTGTAAGGCTTTTGTGGTCCTTATAGTGATGCTGCCCACCTGGCTATACTTTATTGGTTCAGGAGCAGCCACTTTACAATTTACCAAGGAGTCTCTCCACAATGCTATTGTTTGAATGTTTCCCCAGGGTTCATGTGTTGGAAACTTAAGCCCAATGCAAGAGTGTTGCAAGGGGCGACCTTTAAAATGTGATTATGCTGTTACTGTGGGGGTGGACTGTAGGAGTGGGTTTCTTAAAAAGAATGAGTTTAGCACCCTCTTTCTCTCTAGCACACTCTGGCCCGTACTCCCCCCATGGACGATGCTGCATGAAGGCCCTCACCGGATCCTCTCCCTCCATATGGGGTTTCCAGCTTCTGAAACTTGTGAGCCAAATAAATTTCTGTTCATTATAATTTACCACATCTCAGGTATTCTGGATGTCAGCATGGAATGGACTAAGACACCCAGGATTTTCTTTCATTTCCTGATAATTGAGGATAGAAGACATAAAACCTAGAAAAGACCTAGAGGAGAAAACTGATGTGCAAAGAGAAGCAGGGATAAGACACAGCAAAGAATTCCCTGGTGATTGCACTCCTGGGTCCAATAAGAACAGAGTTCTGTATTTCTGAAGTTCAGGTACTCAAACTTCTTTCCCATGAGGACTTCTAAGGGGCTGTGACTTTTTGCTTAAAATCTATTTCAGTTGGGCCTTATCACTTCCAATGAGGAATGCAAACTAATACAGAGGAGCTGAGTCTCAGAGTGTTCAAGTCATTCAGGGTCACAGAGCAAGGAGATTTGGTCTCAGCTATTTCAGATGTGTGTTCTCGATAGACAGAGGTCTTCTAGCAGGTCTGGCCTAACTGAAGTCTCTAGTGTTCAAAAAATAAATAAATAAAAAGCACAGGACAATAAGCTATTTGGAGATACAAAGGAAAGCATATTTTTTGTGATAAAACCAGATATACTGAGCCTATCTGGGCTGGTTAAAATGCAAAGACAGATCAAGACTAGAGCAAAAAATAAGAAAAAAGGAATTTACTGAAGAAGGCTCTAGTTTCCCTGCCATTTTTTTCTCTCCCAGTTTAATGAGCTATTTGTGTTGTTGTTGTTGTTATTCTTCTTATTTCATTTGGGATTTTTCTCCCTGTTTATCAAAGTGATACATGTTTATCATGTATAAACTTTGGAAGGTAAAAGTAAATTAGGGAAGATCACCTATAACTTCACCATACAGGGAATGAAAAAGACTATCTAGAAAGCCTGGCATGTGCTTCTTGGAATTTTGGAATTGGGGATCTGGCATCTGATACATTCCTGACAAACCCTGAGCTCTTGGGGTGGCAGAGCATAGGGCAGATCCTGACCTATAAGTGACCTGTTTCCTCCATGGTGAGGCATGGGACACGGTTTCTCCAGGTGGGACTCTGAGGAGAGGCGGCTGTCTGAGGTTGCTTTGAAAGTGCTGGAGATCATTTCTTGATGGGTCAGTGGATAGGACTGCAGCAGAAAGACTGAGGGAAGGATCAAGTTGTGACAAATCCTTAGCCTTGACTTTTTGTGATAAGCAAAGTCAGAACAACTGTGTAAAGCTGGGATCTCAGAAGGATGATTTTGGAATTCATACTTAAAATCAAAGGAGCATTCTAACATCTGGGATGACAGCCTTTTTGTCCTATATGGTCAGTTATCGGCTGGGTTACACTATTTAAAGCAAGATGTATTCTATAGTTGTCAGGCCATATTTGACCATAGATGGTCAATTTATACTGGAGTTAACATCCTGATGAAACCCATCATAAATTATCATCCTGATTAAAACCAGCATAAAGATATTGTAACAGACCTAATCTAGTGACACAGTTTGGATCTGAAGTGGCTCCCAAAGGTCTATTGTAAGCAAGACAGGGACATCTGTATAGCTAAGGGACTGAGCTGTGGCTATTCACTCTGGAAAACTATTTTCAAGAGTTCATGGTCAACTGTGCTTCACCTAGTTGAAACACTGGGTGGCAATGTTTTTACAGAAATGATTTCAGAAGGGACCTAAACGTACATTTTATTCTAATAAGCCTACTCAGCCATCAATGACTAAAACTGCAGTCTGCCTTCAACTCACCACCTGAACAACCTGTGCTCAGTATTACAACTCTCCATGCAGAGTTTGAAAAAACACACACTCTCTCACTCTCTCTCTCTCTCTCTCTCCAAAACTAGAGTGCCAGAAATGATATATTGGATTAAAAAAAATTAAGTCTCTTGCCACACCCAGTTCCCACCTCCATGCCTCATTTTTTAATTTGTTCTAGTAAACCCAATGAGATTAAAATGTTAATTTAATTGACTGATGATGTATGCCCTTATCATCCAAGAAAAGAAGGCTTAGGATTTTATCTTTACATATTGTCATCAGAAAATAAACTGCTGGTTATCACTAGAGAGAAGGCTGACATCTTCTGAAGTTGGAAATTCAGTGTCTTTGGATTGGAGTCCTGGGTGTAGGCCAGATTCAAGGGCATGTATTCCTTTTACATCTCCAAAGGACATTTTCTGCTAAAGGATGAGAAATTTACAAACTGTGTTCAACTGGAGCAAAATATTGTCTTTCTGTCATCAGCATAGTACAGGCAGAGCCCAGCAGATACTCTGTGTTGGACCTTATAGGATTTTTCCATTTTGCTCAAATAATTGTAGAAAAAAAAAGTTGTGGTAGATGAATTTGGGGAGGGGTAAGGTCTCATATTTGACACACAAACCCACAATATATGGACTTTTACTTGTAATTGCGTTTATTACCATACTGATATGTTAGATATGTTATGTATATTATAAAGCAAACAAGAACATAAATTTTAACAGAAGGGGATGAAATAAAAATTATCACAGAAGCTCTAATACAGAGCTTTCATAATCTTTTGCACCCCCAAATAAGGCACGCCTCAGCTGGAGCCCAGTAGCTCAGCTGAAGCCACACAGCTGAAAGTGCTTTGCCTTGGGCATCTTGTCTTGCTATGCTTCACAGCCCCGAGTGACATGGTGTAGGGGTTCTTATTCACTCCATCTTCAGATGAGGAACCAGCCTTAGAATGATAAAATAGAAAGACCCTTATCAGGTTTTCTTTTGAAAGTCTCACTATTGCAGAGTAACCTGCAAAAATTCCATCAAAAAATGTGTTATTGGCCAAGCACAGTGGCACATGCCTATAATCCCAGCAGCTCTGGTTGCTGAGGCAACAGAATTGTGAGTTCAAAGCCAGCAATTTAGTGAGGCCCTAAGCAACTCAATGAGACCCGGTCTCAAAAAAAAAAAAAAAAAAAAAAAAAAAAAAAAAATGGGCTGAGGATGTGGCTTAGTTGTTAAGTGCCCCTTAGTTCAATCCCTAGGACAGGAAAAAAAAAAAAAAGGTCTTTTTGAATCAAAACTTAAACTCTCAGAAGTATAAACAAAGTAAGAATTGTGAAGATGTGTAAGCACCGTTTTTATTTTTTTCTGGTTTTCAATATTCACTAAACAAAATTAATATTTTATAACTCAAAATACACATGAATGAATTGTTTATAAAAATGACATCGTTAGAAGTAAAGCCACTTTGGCACTCATCCTCAATTGGGCTGGACCACCCCTTTTTCCCAGAAGCGACTGCCATTGTTTTCATTCAGATCTTTTCCTATRAAATACATTTGCACCCATAGGAAATATACATATTGTTTTGATGGTGTTTAAAAATGTCAACAGTATCAAATTATGTATATTGTCCTGCAACTTACTTTTATTCATGTCTGATTGTTTTCCCTTTGATCTATTACAATAGGGCTGGATTAGCATATAGGAAACCTGTCTTCTGTCCCATCTGTGTCACATGGCTGAAGCAATGAGCCATTCTCTTAACCTTCTAAGCCTACTTTCTTGCTGTATAGCCAACAATAGTTTTTAAATGCCTGATAGAGATCAAGTACCTGCTAGATAAYAGAAATAATAAATGAACATGACAAAGGCAGTCCAAGCCTTCAGAGGCTGAAATTCTGAAAAGATCAAGAGTTTAGACCACATTACTTTTAAATCCTCTGTTCCCAAGTTAGCATTCTATGATTTGGATAGGATTATATTCATATTCTGTGACCTGAGGCTAATACAACAAGGATTTCCAAATTACATGGAAAAGGCTGTGAAGTATTAAAGAATGAACACTATATGAACACTGGTAAAATAACTTTTTAATTCTGAAGTGACTTTTATTTATATTTATTCAGGTAAATCAATTGTACAACGAAGTCTTAGCATTATGAAATCCAATGTTTTGAAATATTTTCCCTCGGCAATTCTCTTTATTATGATTTTTATAATCTTGAAGAGATTCTCTTATCAGAAGATTTTCATGCATTCAGGTATTTTGCATGATGTCTAATGTGATCAGCAATAAAGGTTGCAATGAAGTAGTAGCTATGATCATAACCCTAGAAGGCAAAAATACAGGAAATAACAGTTATCTACCATTTAGAAACATCAATATTAAGGACACTGAATAAATCTCTTTTGTTACTTAATTTGTTTATAAATAGCTAAAATATTATAAGTAAGGTTTAATCAAAATCAAAGTTCTCACACTTGTACTTAAACATTTTCACTGTGTATTAAAAGAGCAGTCGAAATATGAAGGAAAATGAAACATCCTGCATAGCCTAGTTTCTAAATGCCACAATGTATACGCAAAGAAGAAATAAAGCATTAATCCCATGTGCAGAATAGACATGTGATCATATTGACAAGGATTAAAAGAAGTAAACTTAGAGCTTAGAAACATGAGCAAGACATTTTAGTTCGACAAGAGATGCATACTAATAATACTAAAATACAAAATAAGCACATATAAACAATACAGAAAAAGAACATAAAAATGCCCCAAAGCTCTATGGTTTGGGAAGCCAAAAACGGCCACTATAAACCACACAAAGAACTCTACCTCCTACTGTAAAAGCATATCATAACCTTGAAGAGTAATTCATTAAACCCTGACATTCCTTAGCCATATATCAAATTGGGTAAAAAGTCAGCAAACCTTTTGAAAACTACTGTGAAACAGGAAAAAAGAAAAAAAAAAAAAAAGTAGTGTGCCAAGCAGGTGAAACAGAGCTCAGTCAACCCATCCATTAAAATTAGGGCATCAAAACCAGCACTGGTGTTGTAACTCAGTCACAGAGTGTTTTCCTAGCATATGTGAGGCACTGGCTTCAATCCTTAGCACCACATAAAAATAAATAAGCAAAATAAAGGTATTGTGTCCATGTACAACTAAAAAAAATATTAAAAAGTAAAATGGAGAGGCAATCCTTTTCCCTTTGAGAATGAGATAAGTAGCAGTCTTCAAAGGTAGAAGAAAAATATTGATGTAGGAAGAAATTTCTAAGGGTGTTAAACACCAAATAATTTTGGAGCTGGCCACCCACACTAAACACAAAAGAAACAAGGTAGAATAAACTGAAAGAGATAAAAGTCTTAGATTTCTTTTAAAGTTTTAAACAAGAAAATCATCTCTGAAGGATTTACTAGTTAAACTTTTCTAAAGCACATAAGAAATAAAAATAGATCTAATAAAAATATCACTGGAGTTTTAGGGAATAAGGCAAATCCCCAAGGTTTTGATGAATCAGTAAATATTTTCCATCTCTTATTTCCAGAGTTATATGGAATGTATATCGTGGGAACAGCAGTTACTAAAGTTTTAATGTAAAATCATCAAAGTAATTTAAAAGCAAACTATCCTCTATTGTGGAAGTGAATCTGACAGGAGGTTGTCAAGATCAAGGCTGAGACTTGGAGTTACTTGGTATGATATTTCTCAGATCAGCTCTAGATGTTAAATTTAGAGCTAAAAAGCAGATTTTTGTTTAAATTTCTATTAGTTATTGATGGATCTTTATTCATTTTTATTTATTTATATGTGGTGTTGAGAATCAAACCCAGTGCCTCATACATGCTAGGCAAGCAATCTACCACTGAGCCACAACCCCAGCCCAAGAGCAGATTCTTATATAAAGAAAGAAATTTAAGAATTGTTAAACAAATACATGATTTCTAGGCCACAAAACCTTTGCAACTGAGGACTAAGTAGTATCTGCCATTTTTCACAGATCAAAAACATGTATCTGAGAGAAAATAGGCACAGATGTGGGGAACAGATGCCTCAAAAGATTTGTTTGAGAAAACCCTAATGGACTGAGAATACCGTATTTTTATCCTTCGTTTCATGGAAGCTAAAGGCCTTGCAGTTTCCAACATGATGGACAGCCACTGTTGCTTTTATTATTATTCTTTTGAGAAGTTCCATGGTACAAGAAAGTGCCAGTTTTGAGCTTGCAGGAATGCATTGCAAGAAAACAGTACTTCATCCTAACTCCAAATCAAATGTCTTTAACTTCCATAATGATATTTAAAGGAAGATTCACTTTTATGAGAAAACAGAAAATCCTAGTTATGAGGGACCAAGAACGATTTTTTTTAATGTCAATATAGAGGCAAGCAAACAAATTTCAACTATTAGTATACATTTAGAGCTAACTGTGTCATCCTTGATTAGTTTCAAGTCCTGTTTATAACTGTTATTAAGTGGGGTGGYTTTCTTTATTATCTTCAGTTTTATCACTAATGAGTTGGGTTGGTATGTTAAGCAGCTTGTGCAATTGCCTATACTTAGTGACACTTGAAGGGATCTTACTTTCCTCTTCTACCTCACACTTTAAATGGAAAAATCCTTGGTAGTAAAATTCCRACTCCAGGTGTATAAAAATAAACACATTCTTTCATTCTTAACTCAACTCTCAGAAAGAAGCAGTGCTTCAGCAGCTATGATGGACATTTACTCTAAGAGGCAGTGTTTTGCTATATATTTTCTAGACCCAATTAGAAAAGTTGGGATATGAATCTCCAGGTTGTTAAGTCTCTTCAGAGTACTAACAAGCAGCCTGTTGAAAGGTATTCATTTGCTTACTTAACAAACACTGACAGTTCACAGGCTAGATAACTGTGCTAACAGAATACACAAATGAGTGTGTAAGTCCTATATTTCTGGAGCATTCTGCATGTTCTTACTTGTCTATTAAGAGGCAAATCATGTATACGGTTTACCCAACTTCATTCCTTTACCTCTTTAATGGTGTCAAATGCTCACAACTTACACTCTCTCAACTATCTAAAAAAACAAAACAAAACAAAAACTATTGTTTGAAAGGGTAGAATTAGCACATGGGGATTTTTTTTCCATATAATTTTCCTTTTTATATTTTGGCATCTGGAAACCTACACTGGGAAAAAAAGAGAAAACATTATGTAGCAGAATTCTGATAGCTAGTATATAAAGATCAAATCTTAAGAAGCCTCTGCCAAAATAGCCTTTGAATCTTCAAAAAAGTTCTGAGACTTCAGGAGACCAGAAAGTTTCTTTTTCTGGTCTCCAAAAGGGAATACTATTTCTGCAAGTTTCATCAGTGTTAGGTCAGTGAATTTTTTTCATTACATAACTTCAATAACTAAAGATAAGAACCATTAGGCCCTTCCCTTTTGAGGCCAAGATCTGATCTTTGAATACTTGCTCTCAGAATTCTGCTGTCTTTTGTTATTTTTAGTTTAGATTACCTGAAATCAAGATATAAAAAGAAAAATTATATGAAAAATTAGTCCCCTGCACTAATTACATTCTCAATTTTTTGACAGTTGACAAAGTATATATAAAAATTGTGAGCATTTAACACCATTAATAAGAAGTAAAGGGCTTGTATAATCATGCACCATTGTTATAATTTTCTTTCTCCTTCTTTACATCATTTATGTATATATACCCCTTGTCATTTTCATATTATTTTTTCACAGTTTCTATTTCAGAAAGAAACACAGTTATATTGTACTTATCATCAACTGATAAAGCAGTTGATGAAACTCTCAAACCTCAGGTAATCTGAGGTCAATGGAAGGTTTTAGAAAATCTGAAAGTAGCCTCTCTGGAGCTACTACTCAAGCATGTCCACTAAGTTGTTGATCCAATTACAACAAATCCAATCTACTTTAGAACATGTAGTTCACTCTTCCTGACCTTGCTGTTAAGGAAACTGAACAAAAAATTGTGCCTGAGTTCAAGACTGATTATGAATTTAATACTTTTTTATTTTTTTCAGAAAAATTTATTGCTCAGTCTTGACTCCTCAAAAGTATAGCCAGCCACAATTTTTTTTTTTTTTAAATGGTACTGGGGATTGAACCCAGGGGCACTCTACCAATGAGCTATATCCCTAGCCCTTTTGATTTTATAGATTGATTGATTGATTGATTGACTGATTGACAGAGTCTCACTAAGTTGCAAGGTTGGCCTCTATCCTGCAATCCTCYTGCCTAGGTATGTGCCACCATGCCTGGCTCAGACAACCACATTTTCTTCATTGATTGGGATATATGTATTTTAGAAAAAAAATCGGTAGATTTATTTTTTTCCTCTCTTGTGTGTTAAATTGAGACTGCTTTTGTAACTCCAGAGATTTTCAGATTTTGTTGGCAGGCAGGAATTTTTGTCTATAGAAACAACAGAATTTCTTGGCATAGGACAAGGCAATCCAACAGAGCTAATGCCAAGAGTTAAGGTCATTTAGGAAAAAAACATGGTTCAGTACGTCACTTATAGCTACAGTTAATATAGTTAAATGCACTACTCCACTTATAATCAAACTGGTATTTGGATTTCAAGGCTGGTCGTTGATCTAAAATGTTAATTGTGATGGTAAAATGTTCAAATAAATCTAGAAAATATTCTATTACTTAAGGATGAAAATTCAAGAGACAAAAAGATTTTATATATATATATATATATATATATATATAAAATTATATAAAATATTGGTTTTGGTAAATTTCTCAAAAAATTATATATACATATATATACACACATATACATATACATATATGTGTGTGTGTGTGTGTATATATATATATATATATATATATATATATATATCCCACATGTTCAAAATATCCTTATATATATAATACAGGACATTGCTAAGATCTACTCCATAAACTATAGAGGCAGATTATGTACATTTTCTATGGTGCTAGCTCTTACTCCATTCCTTTGCTCCTAGGATCACATCATGTTGCCTGGGAATGGCTAGACAGATGACAGAGGACAGCATTTGTAGTCATGACCTTGCTTCTAGTCCCYATTCTACCAGATACTAGTTGTTTGACCTTAGATAAATAGGCTACCTCTCTGAGACTGTCTCCTCATCTGTAAAACAGATGGACAGGAAAGAAATGATCTCTCATTTGGTGGTATAACGACTACAAATGAGTTAAAGCCATGAAAACATTTTGTAAACTATAAGGAACCACATTATACACTGACTACATTTATATGAACATTTACCATCATAATTACAATGGCTGACACATTACTCTTAAACATGAATCAAAAATGTTTTTAAAAAATCAGCATTGTGAATGATTTTCACAATAGATTCTGAAATAGATTCTGTTTATATTATGCTCTGAAGATTATGAATACTTTTTTAAAAAAGCAGAATTTCTTTACTTAAAACTACAGTACTTCAGTGAAGGAAAATCTCCAATCCAACTGAAATTCAGGAATTATTTTTAAATCACTGGGAGTAGTACAACAAAGTAGCATAAAGGTCAAATAATGCAAAACACATATATGAGAGGAACAATGCTCAGTTTCTAAGGCTAAGATGTGCATATGAAATGCAGAGTAAAGAACAGAAAAGCTTGTCCTTATTCTACTGTATCAGGGTGCATGTGTAAAGAACGATATGTCCACTTATGTTAGCGACTCCAAGTGTCATTCAAGTATTAAGTCTTGACAGTAGGGAGAAAATTAAATAATTTTCATTGCCTAAAGCTTTCCTATTTCTATCAAATTGGGTCTCAGACACCATGAATTTAATAGGAAAGCTTTCACTTCTAGAGTCTTAATATAGTTGAACTATCTGACTAGAAAATAGTCACTTTATATTCTAAAATAAAGAGATTTACTATGGAATCCTGTTTTTTAAATTTATTATTTAGAATATCTTAAGTTTCCTAGTACTTACCTCCTGTAATCTAAAAACAACAGGGATTTTCTTTTCTGAAGAGGCAGAAATGAAATGTTCAGGGAGTAGCTGTCCATCTAGCAAAAACTGGTCATCTTTCCCTTGATCAATCAGTATGTCAAGCTGAGAATCTGGATAGGACTTTACAAGATACGTCGCATCATATGCCTGAAAGAGGAAATATTGAAAACTAAATTTAAAAGTGCACAAGAAGATAGTCTTCTGAATATAATATGCCAAGATCAAAAGAAAATTTAAAGTTATTTAAGCTCTGAGGCTGCTTACATCAGACATATGATTTAAAATTTAGTAATAAAGTGATATTTTTTGGTTAAGTTAGAAGTAATTTTTATTTTGAAATAAAAATATAAATAAACCATTAGCAAAATAAAAAGTAGCCTCAGAGCATCTTTCATGACTCAATAAAATTAGAAATTTGGGTTTTGTGATGGTTGTTAGGTACAGTCATCTCTCAGTATCTGTGGGGAACTAGTTCTAAGGATCTCTCAAACACCCAGTATGTATGGATGATAAAGTTCCTTACATATTGCTATAGTATTTGTATAGAGCCTACACACATTATTCTGCATTCTTTAAATCATCTTTAGGTTACTTATATAATGCTATGTGTAAGTTTATTCTCCGCTCTAGAGCCTTAATTTGAGGGGTTAGGCATGGTGTGTAAGCTTTTTAAAAAACTTGGAAACTTAAGAACAAGTATTAACACAGTTATCTAGGACCTACCTTCCATTTATTTTCATCTGTTCCCAAATATCCGCTAAAGGCTTTTTTGCCCCAAGGACAATGCACTGGGTTGCAAATTGGCGCAAATGCTGACACAGACTTCAGAAATAAAGGAAATTTAAAAATAAGTTTAATTTTTCTAAATCAAATATGAATAGATATTTTCAACTAGCTTAAATTAACTTGCAATGAAAACCCCTGTGAATAATTTTTCTTTTGATATATTACAGGCCTCCATTGTACACCTCTCCATAATACAGTGTTTTGTATACTCTAAGAGAGCTAATAATTTAGGTGCCCTAATAACATAAAACCATGGGTTTATTTAATGAAGGTATAAACAAAAGTTTGTGTTCAGAGTTTCTACTACTTTTTCCCCTGAAAACTAGTCCATAGTAATATGAAACAGCTCATCCTTACCTTAGTGAACATATTATTACACCTGAGACATTATTTCTCTTAAACAGTGTCAAGAAAGCAGGGAGGAGGAATACCTTAAACATGACAAAATTTTTAACTCAATTTTGTTTTGTACAATGTTGCTTTTTTTCTTTTTTTTAGAATTTTTTAATATTTATTTTTTATTTTTTTCAGTGGACACAACATCTTTATTTTGATTTTTATGCAGTGCTGAGGATCGAACCCAGCACCCTGCGCATGCCAGGCAAGTGCACTACCGCTTGAGCCACATCCCCAGACCCTACAATGTTGTTTTCCATTGGATAAAGGTACAAAGATGGAATCTCTCAGCTTTAGAATATTTATCAATGTATATATTTAACAGTACCTTTATTAAAAACAAGTAGATTTTATACAAAAAATTTAAAGTTGCTTTTCTACCTCAGACACAATAAACTGCCTTAGATTCACAAAATAGAAAATAAAATCCTGTTTCCACTCTTATACTATGAAATTGCTATGAGAAATATTTTCATTTCTCAGTAGCACAYCTAAAGTAAATAATCTTTACTACAAGTGTAAAAAGTTCTGGTTCAATCCTCATCATTGCAAAAATAGAAACAAACAAGGAAAAGACATCTTTACTAAGGGAATTAAATGGGTTAAACAAACCTTGCTATACAGAGTAGCTCTATAATTTTAAAAACAGAAGTAATCTTAAGATGATCATTGCTTTGACATTTCCTTTTCAACTCCTGAAATATGCTCTGCACAGAATGACACTCCATATGTGGTGGTTACTAATCGTGGCTCACTTAAACAAACAAAAATGTAAAGCTATAAAGCTTCAAATAATAGGAAAAGCTGAAAATGATGTTTTTCAATCATGGTCTAATTCAGTTTACATGTAGATGCATTAAGAAGATAAAATTCTTAAATTTCTACAAATCTTGAATATTTTCTTTAACCTCAAAAAATTAAGTAAATTTTTCAAAGATTCCTGGCAAAAGTATAAATAAATGATAAACTATCACATTAACATTAATCAAATATAACAACTTTTAGAGGGAAAAATGTGTTCAAAACTAGAGTTTGAATAAAAGTAATGGAAAAGATAAGCTACATTTTATAAACTTCTAGTAGGCCAACAAGAAACCACTCTGATGGAATTCCTATGCTTCTGATTCTATAACATGTCATGTAATCAAACTTAATACCCTCTGTCAATACCCTGAAATTCCCAACACTTAGAAACTAAGTTTAGTCCCAATACTACAACATTATCATAATTTTCACATCTGAGAATTCTTAATATCATATTATTTAAGAAAAATATTTATCCTTAGGCTTTGGTAATCTTACTTTATATTTTCCAGGATTTTTCAAAGCACAAATCAGAGCTCCATGACCTCCCATAGAGTGGCCAAAAATAGACATCCTTTGTGGGTCCACTGGAAAATTGGCATTTATGAGTTGTGGAAGCTAGAAAGAATTTAAATATGACAAAAATTATCAGAGAAAGTAAGTTTAGGCCTTTTCAAAGTTATATAAAATAACTACACAGTATCCAAATCACATTCTTAATATGTTTTCAGCTGATGAAGACTAAAGAAAAATATAAACAAAAACTCAGGTAGACAATAGTTGTTAATATCACTCTTCTAACATAGGGCATAGAATTCTTTAAAAGCAACTTTATAGGAAGATTATGCAGAAAGAGCCTTTAAAATGTTCCAAACTTTTCGCCTAGTAATTTCACATTTTAGAATACATTTCAAGGGAAAAATCCTTAGGGGTAAAAAATTATGTACAAAGACAATCAATACAGTAACATTTGTTATGGTAAAAAAAAATACATAAAAACATAATTTATTATTTTCCAATGTAAAATGTTTATTTCATTTGGCAGAATATTATTTAATTATTAAAATTAGAATAATACTGGTATTTATTTTCTATAATTAAAATAAAGAAAAGCAAAAAAAATTACAATTGTGTGAAAATTAATCACAGAAAAAACTCTGCAATATACTAAAACACAATTATTATTCAGAGTGTAAGATTTATTTGTTATTAAAATTTTAATTATTGAGTTTTTATGATGTAATAAAATCATAAAATTTTTAAAAAATGCATAAACTGTACATAAATATTATGAATAGAAGTAATGCTTTACCACTTATCCTTTCTAACTAAGCCTTGTTTTATCACTATGAAATACATTTGAATGAACCATCTGTCAGGAAATCAAAGGTTATTGCTTATTCTAATTTCTTTATAAGCTGGATAATATATACATTCTCAATATAACTATTAAAATCTTTAAATTCATACTTAGTACTAATTTAAACTGCAGCAAATATCATTATAACATTAGTAAACTTTGCAATCTTCACTAAGGTAGTTCATAAAAATACATGAAATAGATTCACCAATACCATACTCTAGTTTCAAATTCTGAGAACTGGAAAGGACTTTGTGTCTAAAATTAAACTCTTTACAATTATCGGTCAATAATTAAACTACTAATTAAATCACCTCCTCCGTTACGTAAGAGTACATTCTGTAGTTAGTCTTCCAAGGATCTTCAGTGGCATTCACATAAAACCCAGCACCAGTGCCAAAGTCCCAGCTCTCATCTTCCCCTTTAATATTGCAGCCACCTGTCAAGAAAAAATCTGGTATTTTTATCCACTCTCTGGTAATTTATTTAATAATGTACTTTTAGATAAATATGCAAATCCATTTGCATTATAGCTGTTCACCAAATATTGTGAGCTCTCTCTTTTGGAGTACTTGGTAAGACTATATTCCTGGACCTCCTAGCCTGGTATAGGAACCATGCGACTAGTTCTGGCCAATAAGGTGAGAGGGAATGACCTGCCAAACAGAATTCAGCTGCCAAGATAAGGCTCATTATCTTTCTTTGTTCATGAAGTTCCATCTGTGGATTCTGAATATATGTTTCCTGTTTTATAGTAAATGTCCATAAAGAAGTTATCTTTCAGAATTATATAGAGAGCCCCTTCCTAATAACCCACCCCCTCTACTATTTCTTTAATTCTCCTTAGTACTGTGACAAGCTTGTGCTCAATATTCTATCTTGAAGAAAAAGTCTTCTAATGTGCTCTGATATAATTCCCTCCTGCTTCCACTTTTCACTCAGAGCATGGTATTTTAGAGTCATGATGTCAATTGAAAGATTTAAGAGATAATAGCAAAAAATGAAACAAATTATATAATGTACATACCAATTATAACTTAGTCCTTAAATATTTAAATTTTTATAGAAAATCTGTGAGCAAGAATACTTACGAGGGCTGGTGTCTGGAGCAATGACAACAAGGCCATGTTCTGAGGCAGCTTGATGATAACCAGATTTTGATATAAAATTCTGTTCTGTGCAAGTTAAACCTGAAGATCAAAAGCACTGTTACCGTTATCTCGTGTTATACTGTGAATAGTTTAGAAACTTTTAACCTTTTTATAGTACAGGAAAACAAGTTCACTTGTTGTTATTATTTTGCTGTAGATATAAGTTGAGTAAGATTTAAGTTCCCTTTCTTACAAAATTTATAATAGTATAAATCTAAGAACCATCATAGGTTAAATGATTCCATCATTATCCTTTCAAAGTCACTTCCTAAATTTTCAAACCTGAAACTCTTTGGACCAGATGTGCTTGGGAATTCAGAAAATTTCAAACATATAATGGCAATATGGGGCATATGTTCAACAGGAAAACAAGCCCAGCAGGGTATACTGTCCAGTAAGTTAAATGAAAACAATTACAAAACTACTACATCAATTGTTACATTACTAAAATTGATAAATTAGCTGAAAGTGTTATTATATCAGCATAAAAACTTAAGTATTCACAGTAAAAAAAAAAGCTAATACTATGGCCATCATAACACAAAGAACTTAAATATACAGATAGTTCTCAGCAAAAATTCTATAATTTCTCACTGACCTAAAAGGAGAACAACAATGAACATAATATCTTTCTTAAATTCAGTTTTAGCCCCAGTTTTTAGAACAGTTTCTGTCATTTTTCCTAGTTCTGTGCATTTCAGTCATGTGATAAAGAGATGACTTAATTCTCTTACCATAGGTTCCTAAGACTACGGATGACATGAGAATGACCAAGAATGAACCAGCAATAAATTCTTGAACTAAGCACCACCTAATAGCCCTTTTCTAGCAGTCAGTGCAAAATACTGCATCTGATTATTAGCAATATCAAAACTTATTGATATGCATGAGGAAATATGGACTATAAAACACTTTCATAGTTGCTAATTATCCCATAATAGAGAGCACAGAGACTTATAGTGTGCCCATATATATTGGTTAAATTAATAATCAACAATAAGATACAAAGTTACAAATATCATTTATGCTTAAACTCTGTTAGGACATAGACTTTCATCAGTCATTGAAGAGCAATAAGGTGGTTTGTCTACCTTATTTATTTATAATTGTATAAATCTAAGAACCATCATAGGCTCAATGATTACATCATTATCCTTTCAAAGTCACTAAATTTTCAATCCTGAAATTCTTTGGACCAGATGTGCTTGGGAATTCAGAAAATTTCAAATGTATAATGGCAATATGGGGCATATGCTCAACAGGAAAACAAACCCAGAATTGTTCAGTAAGTTGAATGAAAACAAGTAAACACTCTGAAATCCTTTTGTCATCATTTCTCAAGGGCATTGGTCAGACCATCTTACTTTTTTTTAGAAAAATCAAGACTTAATTTCCAAGGTCTATCTGTTCTTCAGAATCTCACTAAGGAAACTCTTCTGCCATTTAATGTTCTTACCAGTATGTTTTCCAGTCAACTGAGTCATAGCATGATGAAGAACTGCCCCCACTACTGTCAAAGTTCACCATTTTGCAGACCTCAATGTAAATGTGTTCAAAGGAGAAAGGGTAATAGGGTAGAAAGCAGGGGTTTGGGATTTCAGTTGGGATCTGTTTCTAAGTGTCACTCAGCCTTTTACTAACCAACTTAAAATTCTGAGTCTGAGTTCCTTCATTGGAAAAATGGAGAATGCCACCTCTTTCTATATCATAAGAAGATTAAATGTGATTAGATGTAATGATTTTTGAATTGGGTCTCGGGTAGACCAAATAGTACCCTGCACTTGAGAAATGAAAATCTGTTAGGTACCAGAGAAAAATTTCATTTTTTTTCCAGTTGGAATGCAAATTCTTTGATTAAAGTAGGGAGAGTGAATTGTAGAGGCACAGAAATGAAGATAATTCAACCAGAAGGATTACTCATTAAGAGTACATAGATAGTTACTAATTATAATCTACTCAACCTAGGAGCTCTGGAGGCTGAGGTAGAAGATTCCAAAGTCAAAGCTAGCCTCAGCAACTTAGTGAGTCCTGAGCAACTTGGATGGGGATGTTTCTCAGTGGTTAAGTGCCCCCTTGGGTTCAATCCCTAGTACAAAAAAAAAGAAAGGAAAAAAAAAAAAAAACCAATAAACCAAAAAACTACTCAATCAACCTCATCTATATGAAGATATAAAAATGTTTTGGCAACAACTTTACTGAGCAATTCAATTAAATGATTATTAGTATACTCACGGCTCTGCAGCCATAACATTTTTTATCACCTCAAAAAGAAACCCAATGCCCATTAACTGCCATTCCCCATTTGTTCCACCTACAGCCTCCAGAGCCAGGCTACCACTACTCTACCTTCTGCCCCTATGGATTTGCCTATTCTGGTCATGTCATATAAGGGGAATTTAACAATATGTTGTCTTTGATGGATGGATTCTTTCACTTAGAATGTTTTCAAAGTATATCCACATTGTGGCATGTATGAAGGCTTCATTAATTTTGTTTCTTAATAATATTCTATTTTTTAATAATATTCTACTACATTTTATTTATTATTTCATCGGTTGGTAGACATCTGGTTTGTTCCTAGTTTTTGGCTATTACAAATAATGTGCTATGAATGTTCATATTTCTGTGTGTGTATACGTTTTCAATCCTCTTGGGTTGTATAGCTAATGAAAGAATGTTGTGACAGTCATCTCAACTTGCCAAAGACAGGAATCACCACATGGGGACTATCTTTGAAGACTTCTTTAGATGTTCTGATTTTAGCTAATCTGTCAACTTTAGCAACTTACTGGTAGGTAAACACYTGTCATCATTTCTCAAGGGCGCTGGTCAGACAATCTTACCTTTTTTTAGAAAAATCAAGACTTAAGTACCAAGGTCTATCTGTTCAGATCTCACTAAGGAAACTGTTCTGCCATTTAATATAAATAGAACAAAAATTCTATATTTTACCCTCAAAAAGCTCAACTAACCTGTTTTTATACATTTCAATTTTGGTTAGGAATTAATCTGATCTCAGATTAAGTGTTTAACCAAAAGTTATGACTTTTAGTAGCTCTTGTCAGAAACAATGCAAAAAGAACAGAGACTGAATACAAATCTGAACTGTGAGTCAGAAAACCTGCTCAACCTTACACTGTTATGTGACTTTGGGCAGTATTCAGCTTCTGTGGGCCTCAGTTTTCTTTCTATGAATTAATTACATAATACCTAGGGTTATATTTAGCTACATATTACTATGTATTCTATAACAATTAAATGTCTAATTTTGTTGCTATTGCTTTTTGCCAGTATCAAATGTTTTCCTAGAAAAACTGGTGTTCTTCATTTGGTCATCGAAGTGCTTTGTTGAATTAAAATGAGATATACAACTAAGTCTTTTTTTCTAAAGTGAACATTTATTCTCATTTCAAATTGGTGCTTGGGGCGTATCCTTGATATTCATACATAGGGAGGATTTATTAAATAAATGTTGTAAGAACCTATTTTAAAGAAACAACAGCTCTCCATGACACAATTTGGGTGCCATAACTCTCTCCTTGTAACTTTTTCTTATAAAGATGAAGTGCTAATATCTTGTGAAAGAGAAATTAGCACAGAGGTTCAAAACTACTAGTGTCAAAGTCTTACTCTCTCACAAATCTATTGTACAGTCTGATTAGGAGTATTATCCAATGATTAAGAAACATTAGTATTCTTTGTGACTTTCTAGATTGTTGCAAGAGAAGCTCTATAGAGGCCAGTTAAAATATTATAGAGAACACTGCAGGAAGGTACTTATCTGTGGTCTACAATTAGTGTACCATGGTGCTCTGGTTCCATCTAATAGTGTTCTATTTGGCAAAGTCTCTACAAACTGCAGAAACGCTTGGGCAGGATAAGTTGCCGCAGTCTGGGCACAAATCACGAGCCACTGAAGCAGGAACAAATTTATTTCTGAACTCCACCAGCACACTCCACACACGCTCCCGGGAACTCTCCCGAACGCCACCCACGGGGCTCCTCCAGGAACCACCAACCGGAAATCCCTCCTCTGGCACTTCCCCAACCAATGCGAACTCTTCAGGAATCCCCATGAGAGCTCAACTGGAACTCAACAGGAACTCCGCAAGAACTCAAAAGTCATCATCTTAATGGCTTGCTGGTGTCACCTCTCAACCACTACTTCTGGCAAAAATGCCATGCATCATCCCGACTCGGCTGTGGCCCTCAACAATAAGTTAAATAAGTGACTTTCTAAACCTTCACCTTTGAGCCCAGGACTGTTCATTCTCTACAAAGATACTTGGTCTAATTGAAAAAAGAGTGAAGTAAATCTAATTCCACAGGTCTGAAGTTTTCTTAAGATAAAATTACAAAGCAGGTGATGATAAGCCTCTATTTTATAAGAGGCTCAGAAAGCATACCAGTGAGTCAAAGTTAAAAGGTAAGGAAAGCCAGTTAAAAGGAAATTGCTTTATAAAACTTAAATGTATAATACTCACCAGACAACCAATACAGTGCAGGGCACTTTCCACTTTCTGCCTTTGGTGGTAAGTAGATAGCAAATTTCATTTTGCACTTCAGCTCAACACTATAGTTTTAACAACAATCATCACAACAAAATATTAATGCCCTTTATTAATCAAGTCAGAGACAAAATAATTAAGCACTATGTAAAAAGTAAAATATTTAATACAGGTCCAAAAAAAGTGGTTGAATATCTAAACTAAGTACTTCATCTAGGCTTAAGGAATATATTGTCCCTTAAAGAAAGAAGAAAACCTGTTGGGCATAATGATTAACCAATGTAAGGCTCTGCTTGGAATGGCACAGTGTCATTTTGAATAGAATAAATTTAAAAATAAATGTAGACCTCATTGTAGCACTTCTATTATTAATTGTTCCTATTTATAAAGGGATGTATGAAATATATCAGCTTTGATAAAGAATTAATTCCAAATATTTTAAATTACATGCTGGTTCTTGAGCACTGAAATATTCCACATCCTTAATCTGATTTTTCATCATAATATTTTATCACAATCACTATTATCACAAGTAAGATAATTTTGATAAAAACCATAGAACATTCTCATATAAACAGGCATTTATGCAACCCTGACCTTGCAGATGGAATTTTAAATTTACTGCTTCAGAATAGCTCTTTTAAAAAAACTGTTACACATATACTTTAAATTTTAACAACAAATACTAAATAGTTATATGAACCTAGTTTTCCCCYACCCTACAACCTTTTCATTTGCCACATTCAAGAGATGATCCATTTACCTCTTATAACTAATTCTTCTAGCATTTACCCTATAACAGGTCTTCATTTATTCCTTGATTTTTCAGTTTTAGTTATTATTTACTGAATTTCCATTATGGAAGAATTTTATTTAACTTCCCTACCTTTGTTCTCTGTACCTCCCTACATTTCTCCTCGCTACACCCTCTCAATATACAATTTTAGTTGATGAGTACGAAGAAGCTATAAATGCTTTTCAGAGATGAACCATGTAGTATGCCAGAACTACCTCCCTCTCCTTTTAATGTTTTTTTGTTTTCACTGAGTTTGTTATTCTTTTGTTACTTGACTATGTTGACTTTTTAGGTACAGACTCCCACAAAGACCCCATCTTTGCTAGTGAGAAATTTTCTGTACGCTCCTTTCCATTCTCTGCAAATGTTTGCTTTTATTTTTCTACTCTATTTTAAACATCTTTTCCTGTGGATGATTAGAAGTCATAAAAATTTTCTGGCAGCTGTTTTTAGGTCTTCAACTAATGTTAGGGAAATTAAGCTGTCTTCTTTCATGATATATGATATACCCCATCAGATCCATGACCAATTCCAGAATATTTGTTATCAACTGGCTTAACCAAAAGTGCACAGTCATGTTCCAGGATAGTTGGTGCCTTAAAACCTTTTTGTAAACTTAAAAATTTGTTAAGAGGAATAAAAAGATGTTAAAAAAGAAAAGAAAAGAAAAGAAAAGGAAAGAAAAAAAGAAAACACAAAGTAAGTGGCACACGCAGGGGGAAAAAAACTGAGAAGAGGGTAGATCTCATGTTAAGCATTTTTACCACAATTAAAGGCCTATTTCAAGCAGCTGTGTTATAAATGAGGTCTAAAGCATATTTCAAACAGTGGTATGATTATCACTAACATAAAAGGAAAAAAAACAGAATTATCAAGTATACTTCTGAAACTTCTGTTCCTATCATGTCATTATGATGCTGCTCAATTACCAAAATAACAGAATGTCATACACAGAAATTCGTTATTGAGATGGGGATAGGGAGAAGGATCAGGCCATAACTACCAGGCACACAAAACTTTAAGGCTGTGCCTCTCTTCAAAGATCCCCCACCTTCAAAGGGAGCAAAGCAGAAGCAAAACTATTAAATGGTTAGGAGGATCCTGGAGCACACAAAGGATTACATTCCAGAACAATTCTTGAAAGATAACTCTAAATCACACAGGATTATACAATAAATAGATTACATGAACTTAAGTTTATAGTTTTTGTTTAACTAGAAAGGGAAATGATCTGACTTGAAGGTAGAGAAACAAACATCAGAAGGTAATCGTAAGCTTATTAATTAATGGTAAAATTCAAAGCCTAACTTTAGACAAAATTCTAACCTATCTTAGAATACCTGAGAAATCATACATATATATTCTCTAAGACTAAGACCACAGAACATCTCTCCTCAGTGTCTGTGCTCAATTCTGTCTTTCTGGGTGTGTACTGACTGTCTCTGCTTCATAAATCAGCCTGTGCCTCTTACTGATGTGTTTTGAAACTTGTCTTGCTGCAGATATCAAGGTAGTTGTTGTCCTGAGTTGAGGTCTCCTTCTTCCAAGGACCTCCTTGGACCCCTTTTCTAGTGACATTAACGACACTGAGTTTATTTTATCACTACTGCAACATCAAAAATCCCCTTCACCCAGTTTCATAAATTTCCTCTCAAATACAATTAATTCTATTTCATTTTCTAAAAATGAAACCTCATCAAAGCAGTATTATCCAATAGGATTTTCTACAATAATGAAAATGTTCCATATCTGTATGTCCAATATGGCAAATTGTAGTCATACATTAGCTAAAAATGTTCTCAGAATTTTTAATGGCACCATAGACGTTTTCATAAAGTTTTAGAAGGCCATCAACACAAATCTGGAAGGTATTCTTTGTTAGGCTCCACAGTCCAACCCCTACAGAATTAAGTTTGGTGAAACTGTCATATAGATAACAAGAGAAACCACATTCAAAAGTGAAATGATATACCAAAATATATAAACATTTGTTTAAAATTAGGCAAAACAAATCAAATTGAATGAAACATCTAAAGTTATGTACATCTTCTTAATAGTTACCTGTCATGTTCAAATACTTTCTGCAATCCTCCAAAGCACTTGTTGCTGGAAATCTGTTTCAATGCCATTCTTTTCCTATTAGTGAAGATTAATCTCATTAATTTCTAAAAAAGATGTAGTTCCTGAAAACTTGAAATGAAATTGATTGTTTCCAGATCAATTATCTAAATACACAACTGTTTTCCAYCCAGAATTTTTTCACATGCCATTTTTCTGATAAATAACATTTAGAAACTAACTTTCATATTCACACTTATATTTGTTATCTGTACTTGACTCTAGAAAATTTTAATAACCTGTCATACCATTAATAATTTACTGTTGCAGACTGCCCCAGATTTAAAAAAAAAAAAAAATCTCAAGTTACTAATCGACCAGTTTAGTAGATTAAAAAATATTAACAGTCTACCTGTCAGCTGTAACAAAGAAGTGAAGGAGTGGGTATTTTTAATTATGGTTGATTTTAAAACAGAAAGATGATGTGCCTATAATTATTTTGATGACAATATAACATTATTGATGACTAACATTATGATAGGTATTTTTCAATATGCTAAACCAGATCAAATTATTCATCTTCTGAGAGCTTTTGAGAAAAAGTGATACATAAATTTTAGATTAATATTTCTCCTTTTAAACCAAACCAACATAGATCTGTTATTAGGGAATAAAAAGAACAGCTTGTTGTACAATATAGGTCTGCTATTTTCTAAATAAAAAGAACAGCTTGTTTTTAGTCTATTTCCTCTGCTCTTAGAATATTCCTTAATTAAAATAATATTCCTTAATCAAACCTAAATACTATTCATTTGGCCAGAAAAAACATGGTTAAAGTATTTTTAAAAAAATTGGGAGAATATTTTTAAAAAAAACCCATCTTTTAAAGTCCCCCCTACATAACTTGTTTTATAAACTACCTTCAATTACAAATTAAGAACAATGTTAAGTTTAACAACAACAAAAAAAGGAAATAAGCTAGGAATTAATATGATATATAATATATAATTATAAAACACTAGGTGGTTATATTTTTCAATAGAAATTGTCTATGTGAAAAACAACAGATGTTTTAAACCAAGTTATTATATTTTTTTTCCATTTAACCCATAAACAATGAAAGGTAAGTTTACCTGTCCAATTGCTACTTGCTTTTTAGTCTGCAATGAAGGGCAGATGATCCTGAAAAAAGACCAAATGGATTATAAATTACAAAGTTTCTTATAGCACCATTACAAAGATTATGATGAAGCTGAAAAAGTCCTACTGTCTAGAGCACAAAGAGCTAAAGAGGCAAGAGAAAAGGAAATTACAGAAAACGGAAAAGAATCCTTAAGAAAATTCACCGAGAAGGGTTTAGTAGCTTTTTCAGACCTCAACAAGTTCCTTAAAAAGTTAGAAACATAGTTGGTTGCAGTGGCTCATGCCTTTAATCCCAGCCGCTCGGGAGGTTGAGGCAGGGGGATCTCAAGTTCAATAGCCAGCTTCAGCAACTGCGAGGCCCTAAGCAACTCAGTGAGACCCTGTCTCTAAATAAAATACAAAATAGGGATGGGGATGTGGCTCAGTGGTCAAGTGTTCTTGAGTTCAATCTCTGGTACCTACCTCCCCACCCCCCATAAAAGTTAGAAAACATGAACTCCAATTCTGAAAAGTTTTCATTAAGAATGCTCATGGTGTATTATCTATTTACAACCAAATTTATAATTTTTAAAAAAAAGTAACAAGAAAACCATGAACATATTTCTGAAAAGTGATACCACCTCATGAAGAGTCTCAGACAGGTCCTCCTGGAGGTATCTAGAAGAAGGCCGTAAGACAACAGCTCTAAGTGTATTCCTGACCTAAGGACCTTCCAGTGGATAAGATGTGAAGGTGTACCATGATATTAATGATCTTCATCTTGTGTAGACTGGGCTAATGTGTGTGTTTGTGCCTTTCTATTTAGTGAAATAGTTTAAAAAGTAAACAAAAAACAAAAATAAAAATTAGAAAACATCATAGAATAAAGATAAAAAATATTTTTTATAGCTCTACAATGTTTGGTTTTTAAAGTAAATTACAAAAGAGTAAACTACAAAGTTTAAAAAGTAAAAAAGTTACAGTAAACTAAGATTAATTTATTACTGAAGAAAAATACTTTTTAGAAAGTCTATGGCAGTATACACAATGTCCTGGGACTTCATGTTCACTCACCACTCACTGACTCACCCAGAGCAACTTCCTTCCAGTCCTGGAATCTCCTTTCATAGCAACTAGCATATACTGGTATACCATTTTTATCTTTTATCCTGTGTTTTTACTGTATCTTTCCTATATATGTATGCAAATAGTTTTACTGTACCTTTCCTCTTGATATATAAAGTTGCCATTATGTTATAACTACCTACAGTATCTGTACAGTAATATGCTGTTTATAGACAAGGAGCAATAATAGGCTATATATTATCTAGGTTTGTGTGGGGACATTCTGTGATATCCACACAATAATGAAATCACCTAATGATCCTTTTCTCAGAACATACCCCAGAGTTAAGCAAGGCACCACTGCACCTATTTTGCCACAAGCCCTGGTAACTGGTCAAAATCTTTCTTGGAATAAGAGTACTATGAAGACTTTTTTTTTTTTTCTTTTTAAACAAATAAAAAGAAGTGTTAAGGTATAACTTGGAAATATGAGATGTAGTCATCTACTGAGAGTGAAGAAAAGAGAAGTGAGGACTAAGAGAGTAGAGGAAGATGGATTTATCTAGCTAAGAATTGTGGGTCAAATTTGTAATGTGAGCAGGAAAAAGGAGAGAAGAGATGAAGGAGGGAGGCAGACTAAAGGTCTATGAGTTTACTACACAGAAAGGACATGGTGATAAAATTGACTTATGAACTATGCTAAAGTGACCGATATTAAGTAAAATATACATATGGAAATTTACATAGTACAAATTGTGTGTCATTTGTCTGATACATGTTCCATTTAGGTTGTAATATAGTATATATTTAGATCTATAACAGATTTTGTAGGAGAAATGGGTACTAAGAATCAGTTTTTAAAAAAAGAAAAAACAGGTAAACACTAAAACAAACAAACAAACAAAAACCACCCTCAAGACCAAACCATTTTACAGTGCACCACCAATTCCCCTAACTGGCACTGTAAAATGYATCCAACTGTTCTAGAAAGTTCATGAATGGTGTTTGGAAAAGAAAGGTTCACTGAACATGGCTTGAACATGTCAAGCCAATCAGTAAAAACTGTTAAAGATCATTGGGGTTGTAGACAAGTGGTTGACCRGCTGCCTCAAATGTGTGAGGCACTGGGTTTGATCTTCAGCACCACATAAAAAAATAAATAAAATAAAGATATTGTGTCCATCTACAATTTTAAAAAACTTAAAGACAGTAAATATTCTTTATTCATAACATACCCACTTTCTAAAAGGTCAAACAGTCAAATCTTACTGTTTTGTTTTCTTATTGAAGCTAAATGTCATCCAGAAATTCAGGTTCTTTGTATTTTTGCCCCCACTTTTTCCATTTTCTCACAAGTCTCAAAAGTTTTCTTTATATCTACAGGCTGAGCAACAATAATCCCCAAATCTGAAATGCTCCAAAATCTGAAAGTTGGGTGCACAAGACACCACAATTGGAAAACTCTGCACCATGAAACTTTTGCTTTATGAATAGAATTATTTAAAATATTGTATAAAATTACCTCTGGGCTTTGTATATGAGGAATATGAAACAGAAGGGAATTCTGTTTTGGTTCCATCCCCAAGATATCTCTTTATGTATCTTCAAATAGTTCAAAATCTGAAATTCAAAACAGTTCTGGTTCTAAGCATTTTGGATATGGGAGTCAACTGTTACTTGTGGTTTTGGTTACCATTCTGACTTCTTGAATTTGTATCTACTTCATTTCCAATATGTCCCACACTATCGATTATTAACAACCTAAACAATTCTCTGCAAAACAACAGACTGCAGCGCCCCAACTGCTSGCTGCAACTTGTTTGTTCCTATTTGAAATGTTTCAACATTGGCCTTTTAACTCCCACTACCACCAATTCCAATTATATATAAGATATTAAAACTCAGCCTCCTACTTTCCTTCTAGTATGTCCCACTACAATTCTAGCCTAGGATTTTAATCCATTTAACTTAATGATCAATGGAGCCAAGAGGACCTATGCGAAATTGTTGTCATTTAATTTGAATGCTGTCTCCCTGATAACCCCATCTGAAATGGTGTCGGGTTCCCTACTGAACTCAGAGATCATTTTACAACCTGAACTATTATCACCCAATCCAAAGATGCAGGTCCCCCTGGGCACTTCCTTCGGCGTGACCGCGCCTTCAGCTAGCCTGCCGTGTCCCCAACGTGTGTGGGCTACTCCCTTGGCCCTCTGAGGGCGCCATCATTGTCCCGAGGGAGGCCCGTTTCCTCGGTAGAAGAGGAACACTTTTACTCGTGCGGTGGCAGCGCATGTAGACAGAGGGAACTGTTTTTGTACAAGGGAAAATACTGTCCACGGTAGCGGGCACTAGACAACCGGGAGCTTCTCCGGGATGCAGCACGCCGAGCGCCCCGAGTCATACACTGTTGGGAGCTCGGTGCAGGTAAAGGGATTAGGGAGAGGAACCGTGCCCGGGACAAAGTCTGGCCTCGCGCCACGGTTTGGCAGCGTTCGGGCGCCGTCGCGTGCGAGCCGCCATCTGCGCCGCAGGCCTCGGCGTCAGCCCGACCAAGCCTGGTTTACAGCTGCTGCTCTAGACCCAAGCTGGCCGAGGACGTTGGCTGTTTTACCCGTACCCAGTCTTACCTACGGCTGCKGCAGGGGTACCGGTGGGGACGCAAGACGCGGCAGGGAGGGGAGGGCGGGGCCTCAACATGGCCGCCGGGGACCTGGCCCGGCCTGGCCCCGCCCACACCAGGATCCGCCCCTTTCCGCTAACCCGGCGGCTACGCCTCCTTGGGCCCGCCCTCTCCCTGAATTCGCTCTTCCCAGCAGGCTTTTCGCCTCCCGGTCTCCGCTYTGCAGCAGGGTCAGTGGAGCGTGTTAGAGGTTGGACCGCATCTCCTTATCCAGCGACTGTCCGCGCACTCAGAGCCTTCTGAGAGAAGTCAGCAAGAGCTGAGGCTTTAGTAAACCTGAGGGCTGTCWCCACTTAAGTCTTGGAAAGGGTTTCTGTGTACCACTGTACAGTTTTTAGAAACCAAAGAATAATTTCAAGACCCCTCTCTCTCCACCCCCAAATCTTCAGTTCACCTACTTGGTAGATGGAATTAAGAGGTATTTGGAATCTTCAGTGGCAGACAACGTAGTACAAGCTCCGTCAGTGCCAAATGATCTCCCTTCGTCCCTCGACAAAAGTTGAACTGTGCAAGAGTTGCTGGTTGATGATTTGCAGSAAATCTCCCTTTGTCATTCTGCTACTATTTAAGCAAACTAATCGTCAGTGTACTTCACCTACTGAGAAAATGAAGCATATTGAGAAATTTAAACATGATTTCGAAAGGACCAAAGTGTGTGTTTGTGTTTCACTGTTAGATAAACAGACCCTTTCCTCTTGGCTTCAGGGGCAGGCAACCCAAAGAACCCTTGCTTGGTTTTATTTTCACAATAGTGTTTTTTGTTTGTTTGTTTTGTTTTTTTAAACACGGTCCCTACTTTTTTGTTTTGCTCTGGGTCCTGCAAATTTTGTAGCTTATCTTGCTGTAAGGAGTGGTGGGTGAAATGACCTCAACGGAAATTGAAATAAATATAGATGAGCTGCCACACAGATTACTGCCAGTATCTGTTGTGTGGCTCAGGTCCATTTTGCCATAATGACCTTTATACTGAACTAACTTGTGGACCCGTAGAACTAACTTTGGGACTCAGACTAGAAATAATGTTTAAGCAAAAATAATGTTTTTATTTTATAAAAGCATTGAAGTGAAAAATTACTTTTATGTAAGCCTGAAATCCTTTCCTACAGGGTACTTAGGTTAAGGCAGTTGTGATAATAATCAGAACTAAAATTTCTTCATTAGCATAACTAAAATTAAAATAGACCCAAAAATTCTATTTCCTTAACATATTAGGAATGTATATTATTATTTGAACATGGAAGCAAAGTGAACTGAAATAAGAAAGTAAGTTGACTTTTCTGACAATGAAACTATATTAAAAAAAGGATAAATGCTAACTACTAAAGAAATAGTCCAAAAAGTATCTGTAAATGTGTGACAGATTTATGGACTCTTACTTTGATCTAAAATGAATAAGATAGAATCTTAGGAAGACAATAAAGGAATGAAATGAAAATGAGATAAATTTGTCTACTTAAACATCTGTGGGAAAGGAGATTGTCTAAGTCAGCCATGGCTGCTGTATCAAAAATACTACAGACTGGTTGGCTTTTTTTTTTTTTTTAAATATTTATTCATTTTTTCTTAGTTCTTGGCRGACACAACATCTTTGTTTGTATGTGGTGCTGAGGATCGAACCCGGGCCGCATGCAAGCTAGGCGAGCGCGCTACGCTTGAGCCACATCCCCAGCTCCCAGACTGGTTGGCTTAACAGAAATGAAATCCTCATCATTCTGAAGGGTGGGAAATCCTATATCAAGGAGCCCATTAATTGTGTTTCTGGTGAGGGCCCTCTTCCTGATTTTCAGGGGACCCCTTCTTTCTATAACCTGGCTTGGGGAAGGGTGCAAATTTTGAACACTTCGTCTTCTTAAAATGACACTATAGTTCCATTAGTGAACACACCACCCTTATGCCGTAATTATTKCTCAAAGATTCACCTTCAAATGCTGTCAGATTAGGGATGTAGGTTTCAATTTATGAATTTTTGGGAACACAAATGCTTATTCAGTCTATAGCAGAGTTAATTTTTAGAAAATCTAGAAAAGACATTCATTATACATGAAAAATGATATATTGGATGTAAGATAAGCTACTTGAAAAGCATTTTTATGGCTTTTCCACAGACTGGATCAGGGTTTATTGTCCTTAGCACTATTGGTATTTGGGGCCAGATAATTCTTTGCAGGGAGTTGGGGGGGGGCTATCCTTTGCATTATAGAACATATTAGTAATATTCCTGGCTTCTACCTGCCAGAAGCCAGTAGCTTCCCCAACAAACTTCCATTTCCAAAACATATCTAGAAATTTTCAAATATTTACTTGGTGACATGTGAAATGGAGATCCAYGACCGAAATCTAATAGTCTGTTCTAAAATATAAGCTTAGCTTGTAAAATTAATAAATTCAGGGCTTGGTCTAGTAATATGCATTTTTGAGTCATATCATTTATATAGGAAGTTAGTGGAGTATAGTCTAAAAAATTAATAGGTCATGGATTTTTGTTTCCACTTCTGAAAGGTAGATCAGAATAAATTATAAAGTAAAGTGGGGGATGTAGAGCCCATCTGTCTAATAGAACTTCCTGTAATACTGGAAATGTTCAATATCTATACTCTCCAACAGACCTACTAGCAATCATTAAGAAACTGAAATTTGGTAGTGCTACTGAGAAACTGAGGTTTTTAATTTTATTTAATTTTAAATAATTTAAGTAGTCATTAGTGGCTAATGGCTACTGTATTGAATAGCATATATCTAGAACAGTAGAGATCTAAATAATTCATGAAGTGACTTGGGTTTAACTTAAATCATTTTTATTATTTTTATTTACACATGTTCTTTTCTTTTTTAAATAAAAAATAGGTGTCCAGCAAAGAAGGGTCCTGTGACTTTTTTCTGGTCATGAGCTTTTGTGCTGGCCCCCACTTCCCTGATGCTAGGGTACATTGCTGTCTTCATCTTTTACAAAATACTCAAATTAGTTCCACTTTTCTCTTGCCTGAATTTCAGTGCTTTCAATACAATAAAAATTATATTTCCCTACTTTCATAATTTCAATTAGATTCCATTTCAATTTTAAATGAAATTTTATTTGTAGTAATAATATGTTGAAATTTAAATATATTAATAGCAAATGTATATTAGAAAAGTAGAATACTTAGAAAATTTAGAATAGTGCAGTAAAGTTTGTCAAATCACCAATAATCATACTGTTTAAAGAGAAACTAATTTTAATTTCTTTAATAGTTCATAAGTTCATTTAAGTTTTGAAAACCCTTCACTATAGAAGATTTTTGTGCCTGACAATGAAAGCTTTTTTCCTTTTTTAACTTTGTAACATGATTTTTTTTTATTTAAAAATAACTTTTGTTGAATTTTGATAATTTATGTTTTCCAAAAAGGTAATTGATTTTTAATTTTTGGAATGTTAAAAATATATCCTCATCTTAGGCTATCACACTTTTCTTCTTGTTTTGTTAGTGTTGAATGTTTGCATTCTTTCTGTTTTTTTCTGTTGATGTTTTTCCCCATTTCTGTTGACATATTCAGAGTAGTTCTTGCATTTACAGAAGAATTTAAAAATTTAAATTTAAAATATATTCCTAAAAAAGGAATTATTGGGTGAATTGTTTGGGATATTTTTTACTGCTTTTGACCTCTACCACCAACTTGCTTTAAAGAAAGCTCGTAAAACTCATGTGCAGAATTTATCTTTCTCAGTTTCACAAACTCAGGTCATGTATACATATGCATATATAATCACTCTATTTGTGCACACAGCAAATATTTCTGCAAGGTGTATCTCCTGGAAACACAATTGCTTGCTGTTCTGCAGAGTATGCATATTTAGAATTTTGATAAATCTACTTAAAATTATTCTCACAGGCTTTCCTTTTTACAGCATATGAAATAAAATATTTCTTCCCTCCTTTTTTGAACACTGATCTRTATTTGAACATATTTCTATGACAAAGAATATTTTTCTACTCAGAAAATTTTAATAGATGAATAGTTTTCCATATATTCCATACAATATTTTTATTACTCTTATATTATTGAGCATTTAGGTTGTTACAATTTTATTATTATTCTATTATATTTACCATTGTAAATACACCTTTGTCCATTTTTTAAGTGATTTTCTGAGGACATGGTCCTAGAAGTGGAATTGCTAAGTCAAAATTCATTTTCTTTTTTTAACCTCTTGATAACAAATTGCCAAAATATTAGCTAGAATATTTTTGCTATATTATATTTCTACCAACACATCTTGTACTGTTTTTATGCTCCTTTCATCAGGTAATATTCTTCAACAGTGGAAACTTTATATTTTGTAATGTATAATCTGAAGCACTATAAATTCCCACTGGTATCAGGGAAGAGATGAAGTTGTGTGGATTCAGCTTGTGGATTCAGTGGGAACTCATAAATCACATAGAAATATTTTACTCTTAGTTATAATTCTCAGGGAATGGATATTCTGATGAATGCAGTGTCTTTTTGATGTGGACAATATGTTCATGATAATAGAAACCTCTAGACTTAGCCTTCATTACCTGTCATTATATCCCTGCTCCTTCTACAGATACATTTAGAGAACAATTCTTTGGTATTATTTTCATATACATACATCTGAAGTAAAAATATGTAGCATTTGAAATAACTCTGAATGATATTTATAAAACAGTGCAATTACTGCTAATAAGGTATACTACAGGTATTTCTCTTGGCATTAGGATCTAGATAAAAGTTTATTTTTCCAACAATTGAGTGATACCTCCTTATTTCTCTCTCTTTTTTGGGTAATGTTTGAATCTTATTGAGTTTAATCTTTCTTCAGGCATTTTCAGAAGATGGAGAGCAATGGTCAAATGATAAATGAATYTATAAAAATTGTGTCCTTAATTTGTAACATTAGTGACTTGGGGTCTGGATGGAGTATCAGCCCAAGTAATCTGGCTCCAAACTAAATACTGGGTGAATCTAATTCCTGGTAGCAGACCAAGGCTTGCAAGAGAAGCAACATCTGTCCCGT